AATATTTATCATTTGTAATCAACACAAATTTGTTATCACTCTTTCCCTGTTTATTTTTGTTTTTCATATCTTTCTATGCATTCTTACTTTATTATTATTTAGATATTATTTTCAGTGATATTAGAAAACCAAGAATATCAGAGGTAGCTATTTCATAAACAGTAAAAAACAAAGTATTCCTTAGATAACATAGCTACTAAATATTCTTACTTGCTTAAGGAAAAAAATCCAATTAAAGGCAATTCAAACAATTGAATACACCTTATTTTTCTAAGGTAGTAGTACTTCCCTTAAATCAGCATATTTAATGTTTATGAACATTTTTCTATGATCTAGGACAACATTATCTAAACACTTTATCTATGTTGATAGTTCATAACCAGGAAACATTATTATATACCAGTTTTCTCCTAGAAGTTTTTCTTCATTATTGTTTTCTGATTACCTTCCTTTGTGGGTGTAATTTGTCATTTATTCATATTTTGTTTTTGTCTCTTAAAAATCATTTAATATGGGGCTGGGGTGGTTACTCCGTGGTAGAGCACTTGCCTAGCTTTTGTGAGACCCTGGGCTTGATCCCTAGCATCACATAAAACGAAATATAAAGAAAACAAAGCATTGTGTCCATCTGCAACTAAATATGTTTAGAAAAACATTTAACATATGTCCCTTTTTTTTTACATTGGTGGACATCAACATTTCAAAAAATGGCTTGGTTAAATGCATATCTGACATCTATTAACACAAAGGTGACTTTAGTGTACGGTGCACCTACCAGTAAATACAAAATACTAAAGCATGAAGAAACATAGCAAGGATATATGCTTGCTTTTCTCCTTTATTCTGTGTTCAATAATGGCCTGTTCACACAGGGAAGTGGTTTCTGAAAGCTTCACCCAACTTTTAAAAGTGGAGGTCTTTAGTGGCAGTGAAGATCACAAGGTGCATTTTGAGTCCCAACCTTATGATGAGTCTATGCATTTCTGGCCAGTTCTTCCTGATACATGGTTTGCAATTCTTTCACTTCAACTACCCTTAGGTTTATTATTTTATCCAATCAGACTATGACTTAAAAGGAAAAAGTTGAAAAAAATTCAGGAACTATGAAAATATGCTGACAGCTTCTTCATCTGTATAACAGGGAAAATAATTACCTCCTTAGAGATTTGTTGTAAAAAATATATTTTATTTAATTCTTTTAATTTGCATAGAGTCTTGGTCCTCAGCCCCATTTATCATCATATCTACCTGTGGGTATCTATAAATGCCCAGACATCTGGCCACAAGTGAACATATTCAGTCAGAGTGTCTGTGTGGTGAAGTTCTTTATGGTCATTTCTTCTTCTCCTTCTTCTCCTCCTCCTCTTCCTCCTCCTGGGGGTGGGAGGAATTAGGGAATGAACTCAGGTGCACTCAACCACTGAACCACATCCCGAGCCCTATTTTGTATTTTATTTAAAGACAGGATATCACTGTTTGCTTAGGGCCTCACTTTTTGCTGAGTCTGGCTTTGAATTTTTGATCCTCCTGTCTCAACCTCCTAAGCCATTGTGATTACAGGTGTGCGCCACTGTACCCAGCTCCCGATGGTCATTTCTTACACCACAATTAACAACAGCTGCCTTTGAGTATTCCCTGGCATTAAAACAATGGTCCATTAATATTAGTCA